CACAGGGGTTGGCAACAACAATCCCCCACCGCTGAGCCCTGGTGGCAGGGGGGAGTTTGGGCTTCTCCCAACAGCCCTTCCCGGCAGCTCATCCCGGAGCTAAACCAAAAGGGTGCTTTAAGGGGCAGGTGGGATACGGCCAAAAGGTGTTATTACAGGAATAATGGAGGTGGGGAAACGTGGGAGATGGTTTGGGATCCTCCCATGGCCAACAGGAAGGCTGAAGAACCCACAGAGGAGGGATGATTTCAAAGCCCCATCCACCCCAAGGCAGATGCTGATGCAGTTCAATTGGTGGCTGGTTTCTCCATAGGGATTCTCCATAGGGAATGAGCTCTGTGTAGGAGCTGCGATGGGAAGTGTAAAACCAGAAAGAGAAATAGAGGGAAGCTGCAAAAAGCTCATCAGAAAACATAGATTTTGATTCATTCCCCTCACACTGTGGGTGAACATTCAATCACCCAGAGGCTGCAGAACCCATGGCTCTGGGAAAGGCACATGTGGAGCTGCTTTCCTTGTAGCCCATACACTTTCCCACCCTGATACAGCACCGTGGTGCTGGGAAGGGCAGAGAAAAAGGCCCTCGGGCCCCTCTGGCCTGGGACATAGAGCGTTGGCTTCCCCCTTGGGCTCGAGATGCTGCTGCCCTGACAGCTCATCCTGCCCAGCACCAGCCCCGTGAACACAGCCAGGGTGCTGGGGGATTCCTGTAAAGGGGAAGGATGGTGCCTTCTCCTTTGCAGAAGAGTCCAGTCAGCAAGATTTGGGTAGAACAAGCACCTGGCAGCAGGGAGTGAACTATATAAAGCAAAGCCGGGCAGCTGCGGGGCCCCGAAAGCGAGCAGCGGCTTCCCCAGGTAAGCAGGGATGCGGGAACGCTGCTCCTCCCTTCCCTGCTCCAACCAGGGCAAGCAGGGAGCGAGGTCCGTGCCGGGAAAGCAGAAGAAGAGGAGAAGCTCCCCGAGACGCCAGCCCAGAGGCAGAGCAGCGGGGTGCAGCCCTCCAGGCCCCATCATTCCTCCTTTTCTTCCTTTCCCTTCAGTTTGCTTTTCCCACTCCTCCACCAGCCAATTCCCATCACTTCCCATCCCCTGCACAGCCTCGCCTCCTCATCTCCCCTCACCCCCAGAGGCGGGAGAGCATCTCTGCCCCCGGGTGAGGGGGAAGGACAAAGGAAAGTGGCCGATAGCTCAGGGAAATGGTTTGGTTTCCTCTCTCAGGGCTGTCAGAAAGATGAACTCGCTCCTCGCCTTCGCTGTGCTGGCTGCATGGGGTAAGTGTCCTCCCTCGCACCACGGTTCTCCGTGCTGTTTAGTCATGGAAATTAGGACCAGGCTGGTGATTTCCTGACCTTTTCCCATCACCAACCATGCAACAACCCTCCTGCACTGAGTCCTCTGCAGCACGTACTAGTCCTTAAAACATCACCAGCCCGGTACCAATCTGGTGGCTGGAGATGCTGTTGGGGG